TTTATCAGCCCTAAATTCATCAGGGGGCTGACAAAAACGGGGCATTACTGTATATCCATATTGTTGTGTATTTTACGGTATTTTTCTGTTTTCCTGTAACCGGAAGCCGCCATGTTGGGTTTTAAAATGGCGTCAGACATCGATTTATGGTCCCTCCACGTCACTACGATTCCAAAAATACCCATATTGTGGGGTATTTGACAGAATTTTGAAGTTTTTTCTGTTACCGGAAGCCACCATCTTGGATATAAAAATGGTGCCACACATCGATTTCCGGTCCTTCCACGTCACTCCGATTCCAAAAATAGGCATATTGTGGGGTATTTGACAGAATTTCCAATTTCTTCTGTTTCCTGAAGCCGTCATCTTGGATTTAAAAATGGCGTCAGACATCGATTTCCAGTCCCTACACGTCACTTCGATTCCGAAAATATCCATATTGTGGGGTATTTGACAGAATTTTCATGTTTTCCTGTAACCGGAAGCCGCCATCTTGGATTTTAAAATGGCGTCAAACATCGATTTCTGGTCCCTACATGTCACTCCGATTCCGAAAATACCCATATTGTGGAGTATTTAACAGAATTTTCATGTTTTCCTGTAACCGGAAGCCGCCATCTTGGATTTTAAAATGGCGTCAGACATCGATTTCCGGTCCCTACACGTCACTCCGATTCCAAAAATACCCATATGGTGTGGTATATGACAGAATTTTGAAGTTTTTCTGTAACCGGAAGCCGCCATCTTGGATTTCAAAATGGCGTCAGACATCAATTTCCGATCCATACACGTCACCCTGATTCCAAAAATACCCATATTGTGGGGTATTTGACAATATTTTTAAAAACCTCTTTTTACGAAATAAATCCCAAATAACGAGGTTTTTTTACGCACTAATTCAATTTACGTTTTGGTTCGTAAATGAAGGTTCCAGTGTATTTAATTGAGAAAATATTTTGATACTTTTATATTTTTTTTTATTTATTGATTTATTTACTTATTTGTTTTTTATTTTTTTATTTATTGATTTATTTATTTTTGTTTTTCTTATTATTCCTTCCTTTTTTTATTTATTTATTTGTTAATGCTTATATGAATCTATTTATTTGATTATAATTAATTAATTAATTTATTTATTTATTTATTTATTTATTTACTTATTTATTTTTTTCATTCTTGCTCGTGAGATTAATTACACACATAAGGGTATTATTCAAGTAGCAACTGTCAACTACAACTAAAATTTTGTATACTTGCTAATCTATCTGATTTCATCGTACTTCTAAAGCACGTTTAGGCTGTATCCCATAGGAACGTATTTTTCACTTTTAGGACCACAATTATATTATGGAAAGAAATATATAAATGAGGTAACTATGATTTCAAATATTGGTAATCATGCCCAAAACATGTGAAAAATAACATGAAAATAATATTGTGCCATCAGCGTGAAAGAATTCAAGAAAAAATTAAAATATATTAAATAGCATTGATTTTTCACCCGAAAAGCTCAAAACTACTCATCTGATCATTTCTCAAAAACTAATCATTTGCCCTTGGAAACGCATCAAAAGTTTTCCAAGTGTGGTGAAAATTTGAGCCCAAAATATTAAAAAATAAAAAATCCTGCCTATGGCGAAAATATACCATTTTCCTACAATTTATAAACCGGCCGGTAATCAGTCGGTTTACTGTTTTTACTATAACAAAAACAAAATGTAGGTGCATCCATAAGAATAAACATAAAAAAAAACCATCAAATTGACGATCTAAGATCAAGAATAGCTTATTTGGTAGTAAGTAATCACTTCTTGATGGAAATCAAAAAAGGTGTTTGTTCAGAATGACAAAATAAGCGTTTTGGCCATGTTTGGCTCAAATTCGTGACATCAAACACAGTTGGTGTACCCACTTGAGCTGGAATGACCTGTATATATATGATATATTGTTTTTTTTTTCATATTTTTTATATTAATATTTTTTTTTATACTTATTTATTAGTTTATTGATTTGTTCACGGTTGATTTCTTTTTTTAATGTATTATTTTATTGATTTTTTTTTTATTTATTTATGTTTTGAATTGTTTACTTATTTACGTATATTTTTCGTTACTAATTAATTTTCCTACAAATTTGTTTCAGATGTCATTTTGATAAGTAGTGACGTTTGCGTGCTTCGATGTATTGGAAAATGTACAATACGAAATTAAAAAAAAAATATATATTTAGAATGGCCGAACTTTAGCACAAATGTACTCCTATAACAAAAAATTATGAAAAGATTCATGCGAGTCGGAGAAGGATTTTTTTTTTGCCTTTTGACCTGGAACAGCTTACAGCAGCTCAACCACCCGTATGAAAATAACCATAAAATTACAATAACATATCACTAAAATTCAAAAGATACTAGTGTTGACTAATAACCCTGTTGTAATTGTATTGTATTGGTCAAATAATCAAATAGGCACCACAATAGCTTTGCAAATAATTATATGTTATACAAATTTTGCATAAGATAAAGACAATAACATTTATTGCAAAACAATCAAATTTTTTAGAGTAAAAATATTCTTTTATGGTTACGGCAACTAACAACCCCCCTTTTCTTACGTTAATCAATATACAATATATGCTTTTGTACATAACAATAAGTTCTAATGTATTTTTATTGTTTAAGGCTATATGTTTTATGGTTTCTACGATACGTTTTATTACATTGTAACAAAAGATTCTATTGCTTTTGTATGGTAAATTCTTCTTCGGGCACTTTTTCATTCCCTTTAATCATCCGCGGTGTGATTTTTCCAATAATATTTTAAGAATACTCAGGGCTATCCCTTTAAAATAGGTTATATTAAATAATTAAGGCATGTGTGCCAGTCATGGCTATGCGTTTCTATTATGGTGTGCTCCAATCATGACCGACGCCGAATATTTTCTGAGAAATAAAATCTCTGTTCACGCCTTCCTTAGGAAGGGAAGCAAAGCCGTTGGTTGATAAGTCGAACAATTGACAAAAACCGTTGAACAAGAACTTTGGGTAAACTTTTTTAAATTGTTGTTAAAACGATTTTTCATGAAATTTATATTCATAAAACAATGTTTGAATCATTTTAAATCATTTTCTGAAACTTTTCATTTCTATTTCTACAGTTTTGAAAAGTGTACATTGTTTTTGAACAAGTCAAAAGTTTGCATTTTGCATAAGCTTTTTAATGAATAAAACATTTCAAAAATTGGATAAGTACATTTTGAGATAGGGTAAATGATGGCTTCGGCAGCCATCGGCTGTTTTCGGCAACCACAATTTAAATGTTAATTTCGATGTATTTTCTCACTAAGACACTTCGCTGAATGTATTTCAACGATCCTTTAGTCTCTCAGCTTTAATCTTAATACATTTTTACGACTGAGCAAATCTATGATGCTAGGTGTTTCTTCAAAAGAAACATAAGCACATCAAAATACGGCTGATTTCGAGTTGCCGATAATAGAACAGCTGGTTAATATGTAGTTTAAACGGAAAGGTTGCCGAAGTAAAAGAAGCTGCCGACAATAGTCACACTCACCTGAGAAGTTTGGAGCGCCTTAAAAACGTTTTCAAACCGTTTTGGACAGTTTTGTTGAATGGAATGGATAGAATAGCTAGCAGCAGATGAATGTAAACAAACAGACACGTCATATGTGTGCGTGACACTGAGAAAATGCTAATAGAAGTGCGGAAGCTGCTTAGATTGACGAGAATACGTAAATTCCCCTATTTGGGATTAAAATTTAATTGTTTTACGCAAAATAACTTAAACAAAAAACTTGTTTTGTTTATTTTTCGCAGAAAGTCATGATTTTTTCTCAACAACTCATATCGATCAGAAATGCCGTTCCTGTACTAAAAATTTTAAAATTCAACAAGATCCAAAATGGCGGAATTTTAGCAAAAATATGAATGATTGTCCATAATAAACAATTACACATAGTTTCATACAAATCGGAGACGGTCGATTCAAAAATTCAATTTTTGCTTCGTTATTAAAAATTGGCAAGTTTTGACTGCTTCAACCAACATTTAATTGAAAAATAAACTATTTTTCTGAGTAACTCAATAAATACCAAATAAAACATAAACTAGATAGGAAATTGGTTTCTTGATCTAAATTGCATTAAAAATTGTTGTGCAACTTTGTCGGTATACCTTGAATAATTTAAATGGTGATCGGTAGGGCTTACAAACCATAGGAATCACCCTAACTATGCAGACAATTTATGGCAATTTTATAATTTTTTAGGCCACTTTGGGGTTTCAATGTATACAAAATACTGTATGTATCACCATTTGGTATATTTTTCGGTTGTTTTAAGTGTACATGCAACCACAGAGTTAAATTATTTAACCCTACCGCATCGAATATCATATCCTGCATAACTCGATCCCATTCCGCTCCCGGCAGGCATTCAGAAATGCAACGAATCGCAAAGTTCAATTAGACGTAAAACAATTTCAAACTTGACCGTGTGCAACTATTTCAGCAATGCATTATTGGCAGGCGGGCACATCTGACATCCGTGAGCTACATCACCATCGGGGTTCTGTGTTGTTGAGTTATCTCCAAACATACAAACCATTTGTCCATCCGGTTATCCCTGTATACTACGGGTTTCAATTCAACTCCGAGACACAAAATCAGGTCAGTGACGACGATGCTGATGGACACGGAATATTCAAAGTGCACAGAGCACATTGCTCATTCACTCATCCACTCCACTCACTCATGGGTTTCACTCTATTTAGCTCCACAGCGCCGTACTAGTGGACGCAAAGCGATGGGTGCCATGTGACAGGCGATGCATCATGATGCTTATCGATGCTTGCATTTCTATTTTCCGCAAAATGCTTCCGCGGTTTTCCCAGTGTCCACTTTTCTGGATTTGTAAAGGTGAAGTTTCCTCCACGGCATGGAGGCGGGGAGTTAGATTTTCAATCAAACTGCTTTGTTGGAATGGAACCGGCTATAGCTAAATTGAAATGTTTTTGGACCTGGTAGAACAATTCTCAATTCGACCACCTCCTCCACCGTGGGCAGCAATTGGACGCCTGTCAAACGCGCCATTTGGAATCGTTGAATTTTTGGTAGTCACCTTGAATGCGGATAGAATTTCTATTAACTGAACAATTGTTTGAACACCGGATTGTGGTTTGTATGGGAAAACTTCCAACGAATGTTGGAAAGGCCTGCTTCCATCTAATTAAGGCGGATTTCCATCAGTCACTTTCTGTGCATCACAGCAGCTGACAGGGAAATACTAATTATATATCTTGCTCGATGACCCAGAAGTTAACACTTCCAATTACTTTTGAATGCATCCGTGATTGACGAAACCGGTTTGGTTTGTTGGTTTGCGCAGGGCAATCAATTTACTCCGTAACCAACCAAAGCTGATGGCTGATGATAGCAATATCACACATTTTCACTCCATTTCCGGAAGCTGCCATCGTATTGGAATTCTGCTCCGTAGATGGGGGTGGCGCTAAAGAATGGAAAATGATGATCAAATCTCGGCATCCGGAAAATGGCAACTTTGTTTGAATGTCTGCTCCACATCTTGGAGAATAAACTTTTTTATAGCTTTTCCATTAATTTCCTCGCCATTAGAAACCGGAAATTTATCCCAAAAATCCAAAACAGTTCCACCTGAGCGAATCTCTACGGTTTTAGATCCACAACAGCATCGGCCGTCTGCGTCGAGCACGGGAGAAAGATAATAAAACTGTCATTTTCGATAAGATTTTATCTTTCTCTCAAGCCCATGTCATATCATTAGTCCTTTTGTTTTACGACCCCGTCGTCTTCGTTGTCGTCGTCGTCTTCGTCTTCGTCAGGCCTCCACGGTTCAATGGGATGAATGGAAAAATGAAGATTCGACCGCCTTAGGACGCATTGTGAACCTGATGCCAGGGTGATTTATGGGCGTTGTATCACTGTTGTAGTAGGTACCTATGTTTTCTTCTGCCATCTCTATTGGAAGATGCTCCTGCCCGGACCGAAGTCCCGCTCGTATCGAAATAAAAAATCATAAAATCAAATTAGATTTCGTCTTTGTCGGGTGAAGACCCGTCATGGGGAAGCAAAGCCCAGATGAATGCTGATGTGTTTTGGGATGATACTATCTTTCCGACGATGAGGGGCGAACGTGTTGTTGTTGCTGACAGGAGGGAATCATCATCACCTTTATCGTTTTATGTTTGGAAGGGAAATTGTGGTTTATAAAAAATCATCAAAATTGCCACCGTAGTCAGGAGACGATGTGTTATTGCAGGATAAATGGAGCGCTTGTGTTATTTATTGTCAATTAACGTTTTAGGCTGTGGTAGCACCGTAACGTGAGTAGATCACCTTCTCGTGGTACGTTACGGGATGGAAGATCTACCACCGATTTCTAGTCCTGACTTCTTTAAACTAGGGGAACAGGATTTTTCAGTAATCACAGGAACACATCTTAGTCCTTGTGACTTTTTAAACCTTGTTGATAGTGACAAGAGTCGGCTTTGTCCACCGAGGATGATCTTGAAACAAGGCAAAATGAGATAGTTAGTCTTCATCTATGTGATTCCTAATCTTATATTCGTTGCTCCGTAGTTTGAAGTGTTTAAGACTAAGGTTCTGATGCATGATCATTATCGGTATCATTGCTTAATTTTGTTGCTGAGCAATCCAATTTTAACTGACAAAGAGGCGCAACTATGTAAAGTGCTCTCACTTTTCGAAGTATATAAATAGTGGGACCTTTCAATTAGAATTGACTACTCAGACTAAGTATGGATCGTGAAGTTATAAATATTGCAAATTGAAACGCTTGTTCAATAAAAAAAATAAGCATATCGAACTGCTTGACTTCCTTAACGCCAAGGAGATCGACATTGCCATCATCAACGAGACCCATCCAAGGCCGGAAGTCAACATCTACCTATCGAACTTTCGGCTCTTGAGACTCGACAAAACCAGTGCAAGAAGAGGGGGAGTAGCCGTTGCTGTGAGGCGTAACATCAACCACCACCTGCTGCCGTACTTTCAACTCAAAATTATCGAAGCCATCGGGGTTGAAGTTGGCACATCGCTTGGCCCCATCACCATCATTGTGGCTTACTGCCCCAAACAAATCAATAACAGGGATGGGTCGGCATTGGACCTTCAACGAGATATCACCAAGCTGACTCGGCGGTGGCAAAAATACATCACCGCTGGTGACCTGAATGTCAAACATTAAGCTTGGGCAACAGTCGGCGCAATCAAAACGGCACCATCCTGAACAACGATCTGCAGGAAGCGCAGTGAAACATCTTGAGTCCAGACACTCCCACCCGGTTGAGTAGGTCCGGTGCTCACGCCACCATCGATATCTACATCAGCAACATGGGCAACAACATCTCGCAACTTATCGTGTATCAGCAACCCAGCTCGGACCACTATCCGGTGGTGGCTGAAGTGGGTTCCTCAATCAACAAGTTCCAAGCATCACGGCAAAACTACTATCGGGTAGATTGGTCACAGTTCCAACACTGCGTTGATACCAGTATCGTCCACCCGGAAACAAGCGACGACATCGACCGGTGTCTGCGCTCTATCGATGAAGCGATTTCCCGGGCCAGGGAGCAACATGTTTCAGTATCCAGACAGGTAAGTAATACTTTGAACCTTGACAGGTCAACTAAAGACCTCATTAGACTCCGCAACACGATTCAAAGGCAGTGCCTTTAATGTATTAAGAGATGACAGAAATTTTCATGCAACTCAGAAGAAGTCAGGCGGTGGAGTCCTTATAGCTCTTTCGGCCAATTTTTACTCAGAACTCATCTTTACACCAAAATTTACAGAACTTGAGCATATTTGGGTAAAATCACACATAGCCGGTGAAACGCACGTGTTCGCCTCAGTGTATTTTCCACCAGAACATGCTAATAAAAGCACTTATGAAGCCTTCTTCCAAAGTACTGAACAAATTCTATCTGAGCTTCCTCCTGAGGTTAAAGTTCACATCTATGGAGACTTTAATCAACACCATGCTGACTTCATTCTGGACTCTGAAAATGAATGTATCTTACTCCCAGTCGTTAAGGATAATGAAACATTGCAGTTCATTTTTGACAAAACTGCTAATATAGGACTGAACCAAATTAACCACATCAAAAACTAACAAAATTGCCATTTGGACTTTTTACTAACGAATATTTATGAAGGTTTCTGTGTAACCGAATCATTAAATCCGCTGTGGAAAAATGAAGCGTTTCACACAGCAATTGAATATTCTTTATTTGTGCATGAAAACCAAAGACCCAACGACTGCGAATACGAAGAAGTATTTGAATACAAATTAGCAGACTACGAAAAAATAAAATTTAAATTAAACAGTGTCTGATAAGTATACCGTCACATGTAAATATCTGTAAATATCACCCAACATTTGTAAATATTTAGCATTAAGTCACATTTTTTTTTTTTTGGGTGTCAAGCTGTAGCTGCGTGCCAGCTTAGTTTTCAAGACTTGACCCATTTGAATAAATTTTGCTTGTATCTTTGACAATACAGCAGAAGGACTAGCCTATGTTGGCCGCTTAAACACTGGATTCCGTATGTATTGTTTCAAGATAGTTATAGAAAAAATGCTGTGACGTGTGCGCGTAGATACATCCGCGTAGTAAACCGATTGAATAAGTAAATCCGTTTCGAACGAAATATCTAAATTATGTAAGTTACGAAAACCGCGCGAATTTCCAAAGCCGTGCGAGACAACCGAATCGAGAAAAAAGGCTTATTAGTATTTAAAGAGTGTCACCAAAATAAATGTGATAGCCTATGTTGGCAAGTTGATTAATTTTGGTTTCCTCCCTAGATATTCTTCTTATTTACTACTGAGTTTTGTATCAAATAAGTTAATTTAAAGAACGTATCCAAGGTTGCAAATACTCATTAAAGCTAAAACAATGTTTTGTTTAATTATGAAATAATTTGATGTCATGATCATATTTTGAATTGGTAGGATACAAGAAGAGGTTGCAAAGAATGTGTTTGACATATTAAACCTGTTTATTTCACTTCATGAGAGTCACAATCAACGATTTTCAACACACTCATTCACTTACTCACTCACTCACTCACTCACTCACTCACTCAGCGATCAGCAAATCGCTGATTGTGACTCATAGAAAGCAAAATTTACAGGTTTTATGTTTCAAATGCATACTTTGTGACCTCTTCTTGTAAGTTACAAGTAGAACATGCCATCATACCATCTTTTGGTTTTATTATTCCGAAAAACATTATTTTAGCTGAAATGAGTATTTCCAACCTTGAACGTATCAATCATTTCAAGAATTCGCGACCGCACCGAACAAATTCTATACTACATAAGCTCAAAAGCGTTTGACAAGCTCTACCGAATTGCGTATCACTTCTGCGTAAGCTCCGTAGACGTAGGCGCGTTGAATCCGACAGTCGGCAAAGGTTTAACCTGTACCAACACCGCTTAAGGAACGACCTCGAGTCAGTAAAACCGTTTAGAGCTAAACAGCTACGAAAGATACGAAAATCACGCAAATTGTGAACGCCACGCGAAACAACCGTAGCGATAAAAACAGCTTATTGGCACTCTTTAAGCCACCAAAATAAAAGTGATAGCCTATGTTGGCAAGCTGATTAATTTTGGTTTCCTCCCTAAATATTCTATTTATTTTACTGTTGAGCTTTGTTTCAATTTAGTTATTTTACCGCGCGTATCAATCATTTCAAGATTTCGTGACCGTACCGAACAAATCTATACTACAGAAGCTCAAAAAAACTTTGGCAAGTTCTACCGAATTGCGAATCACTTCTGCGTAAGCTCCGTAGACGTAGACGCGTTGATTCCGACAGCCGCGAAATGTTAAACATGCACCAATACCACATAAGGAAAGATCGATTTTACGTATGGTTTAGTTCATAGATTAACATTGACTGCTGTTTAAAAATGTAAGTACTTGA